GCGAGCTGAGGCGGGAGGCGGCGGGCGCCATCTTGGGAGGGGGGCCGAGGCCGCGGCCTTCGCTTCTTGGGCCGCTGGGGCAGGGCTGGTCATGGAGAGACGGATCTGAGGGAATGGGGTTGTTCCATCGCACGGCAAGCCCTAGGGGAAAAAGGTGATCCCTTTTGGCAGTGTGGACAGAGAGCAGAACTGAGCTGTCTCATGGCTGTGTAACAAAATCCCACCTTTTCACGCACAGATAGCCATTTCCAACAGAAGTCACCTTCCTGCCGCAAGCAAAGGGATGCTTTTCCACTGGGGAGTCTTCAGTCTTTGCTGGTGCAGGGCCCAGAAGGTGGAAGAAGAAAGGACAGCTGGAGGTGGTTGTGTTTTGTGGGCTCCCAAGGCAGCATCTCCTTCTGTCATTGCATGAGACAGATTGTTCCCTGGCTGGACCACCGGTCCCACTCCAGTATCTTGGCAACGCTCCATTGATCCGGTAGATGTTACCGGTGAATATTTTTTGAAGCGCCCTGAAATGCCTGGGATTAAACAGCTAGTGTAGGGTAGGGTTTTGCCACCACCAAAACTCTTCAGCCAGATATTAATGAGTTACATTTGTGTTAAGCCAGGGGACCAAGTGAGAGTCTCCAACTGATTGCATGTGGTTGCACAAGGACTAGAGGGTGATCAGCCTTGGTACCTGATAAAGAAGATGACCATAAATGCGATGCCACTTCTTGCCCTTGTAAGCTGTGTCGAAAGCAGTGTGTTTTCAATGGCAGATGAATGTCGCTGGATGTCCAGCTTTTTCCATCTGCTCTCTATCAGGGACTTGACATTGTAACACAGCTGTGCCTATGAAATAAGTATGAAAAGATAAAGCTGACTGGAGCACTCCTAAGGTTCATTTAAAACAACCTGAGTAAAATTACTTCAGATTCAAAGCGATCTAGAGGCCTGGAGTATTAACAAATTAAGTATTTTTATTTTCTTGGCACAAACCTCTGCTGCTGCTCAGAGCACATCTTCTGTAATGCCCACCATTATGTTGTTAAATGTTACAGTACTAGGTATTTTTCAATGATTTTCTAGGATTGAAAGGGGCATCCTTCTGTTTTTTTTTATGGATGGAAGAATAATTATATCCCATGATAAAAGCTGAGGAAGAAGAGCAGCTGTTCAGACTTATCCAGTGGGAGCTGTCAGAGCATATGGGTCTGTTTTTCCAATTTTAGGTGAAGTACTGAAGGAAATTGGCATTCTTGATTCCTTCTAACATAAAATAGAGCAGAAAGAAACACTCCTTAGTGCAGGCCATGGTTAAATAATGAATTTTATCCATTTCAAGTAGGTTCAAAGGGAAAGCAAGCAGAATACTTAGAAAACAAAACAGACAAATGCCAGGAGAATTCTGGAAGTTATTTTCTTGTAAAACCGGGTGTCTCTCCACAGCTACTTCCTCCTTGAGCCTGCCTGCTGACAGGAGTTTTTAATATAAAAGCACAGGATACAATCTCTGCTGTTCCTTACAATCCTGTCCCCACTACCCTCTCTCCATTCTAAGAAACAGATATTGGATGTCATATATTTGTGTAATCAGACCCAATCTTCAGAGTTTAAGCCCAAATTAAAAATTTACTTTTATGTTGATTTCACAAATTCCTTACAAAGATTTTTTAAAGTGAGATGAACTCACCAGTGTGAGATAAAATTGAAAAATTCCACATATTTCAAACTGGTTGGCATTCAGAGTTTGGTAAAAAACACACACACAACCAACCATAAAAAAAAGCAAACAGGCTGTGGGATGAAAAGGACACACTGTCCAACTATTAAAATCTGGAAAAGAATAAGTAATAATGTACCAAGTAACAGCCTTCCCCATATCTTTAGTACTATAAATACAGATATTTACTACAGGGGAAACTTGTTAGTTAACAAGAAAATAGAGAAATTTATCTCCCTTTTAAAAAAACAAAACCGTAACAGATGGGGAGTGGAGGCTTTTGTGTCTTTTTCTGTTTACTAAGATTAAAAAAAGGTTCTGTTTGGGTTAGAAAAGAGGAAAACTGACATTAAAAATCACTTTATCACAGTGAATTGTCTTTGCTCATGCTATAGAACTCCCTAATCCCACTGGTGGAAACCAGGCATTTTGGCTCTACTGGTCACATCAGGTTCTAAAATGGACTCTGAAGAGATTCCTCCCTGCAAGACAATGGTGACCTCTGTTGTTCCCTGCTGTTGGTACCAGCCACGATGGCTTCTGGCCTGGTGTCGCACACTGGGTCAGCAACACACTTTGAAACAAGCTGGCAGTTACCTAGGAAATAAATGCCCAAGTGTTGCATTCTAGTTTCTGGCCAGGAAAAGATGTATCTATTCTGCAGTCCACTTGGGAAATTTGTCCTTGAGGCTTTCCTCTCAAGAAGCCCCTAATCTGGCTATCAGGTTTTCCAGCTCATAGCTGTGAGCAGGAACTGCAGGAAAGAGCAGTTGCAATCATTTTAAACCACAGTGCTAGTAACAACACCTGCAATGTATTGTGAGACAAATCTGCAGCTATGGCTTTAGAGAAGGAAGCTGGAAGAAAGAAAGAATCCATTTTGAACAGATTCCATTTCTAAAACTGAAGCTTAGATTTTAACAAGGTGTTAGGTTGCATGAATCTTTGTTTCACCCTAAAATGCATTTTAAAAAAAATAGCATGCTTTCTCATTTCAATGACCCAGACTTTGTAATTCCAAGGATATTTTCCTTAGTGCAAGAAAACTTTGGTAATTTTTTTTTTTTTTTTTTTACCCCTTTAAATTACTGTCATGAGGATATGAGCTGATGTAGTTTGGAAACTGACCCCTCTCTTCTGGAAACATTTCCCTGCTTTTTCCTTGTATTTCTCCAGACTGATGATTTCCTCCATCATCTTCTACTTACAGTCCCTATAGTGTCTCTATCACAGTGACACATCACTGAAGAAGCTAAACAAACTTAAATCACTGGTAAGGAAGAAGGAGAAAAATAAATGTTTTGTTAGGAAAGAAATTCCTTTTTGATTCCCTGTAGTTACCAATGGATGAAAACAAATGGGGAACAAAATTTGTATCAACCACAAGATTCGTATTCAGCTCTGAGCTTGTAATTGTGTTGGCTGTTCTGGGATACTTTTAAACCAAAATTGGCTTGCAACCTCTCTAGAAATCATTTTTGGCTTATTTTGATGCCACCAAACCTACAATGGGTTTGGATGCTGTGATTAATTTTCCTATAAATTTAGAAATACATCAAAAGTAGAAAAAAAAAAAATAGTCACAAAAGACTTTGGTCTGACTAAAAACATTTCCTGAACATGGACAGCAAGAAGGAAAAGTTTTGCTCAGGTTTACTGATGATGTCAGCACTTGAAGAACTGAGCACTGTACTGTTTCCTTTCAGGTTTGTGCCCATAGGAAACTAGAGGAGCAAGGGAAAAAGGCTCTTCCTTTTTACCTTTTCTAAAAATGGGTGCAAGGTTTCTCTTTTTCGCCACCTGGGACTTCACCTGATGGGGTTTTTCTCCTGAAAGAGGGGAGCAATTTCACCAGTAGCTGCAATGGCACAGTGCAAAAGATCTGTCATACAACTGTTAACAGAAGCTCCTAATGTCTTGAGATATACCCTTGTTAATGCTCATTTACACCTGAGAACCAAGAAATACCACTTTGCAACGTATAAATCTATGTTGATTCTTGGTAACATGCAGAAAATACATATCAGCAGAGTGATAAATCTGTTCCCCAGGGTGCAGAGCAACCATAAAAAAGAAATGTAAAAATAATAAATTCAAAGTATTTACAGCAGATGGAGCTATACATTTTCCTTTGATCATATGTTATATGATACTCTAAGATAAAGTGTAGGTTGCCAAGGACTGTGGTAAGCCAGTGGTACTGTGTCACCAAGGAATGGAGTTAGTCACAGAAGGCATCTCATAAATTGCTGCAATTAAATTGCTCTCCTGGAAATGATCCTTGTAACATCAGTAGAAGTAGCAACTCAAGAAAAGATTACCACCTTATATTGGTGTCTTAATGGAGATCACAGCTCAAGTCAAAGGCTTTGCTATATCCACTCACCAGTTTGAAGGTTCTCCAGCTCCTGCTGGCTTTTGTTTACTGCCCAGGTAAAGTGAGCCCTGAAGAGAGGATGGAGGTTTCAGTTTACACTATGAACAAGAATATGTGTGCTGGCCACAGGTTATCCTTAGGAGCTCTGGGCTCCTGCACAGCCCAAGTACATACCCAGTATCAGCTCCTTATCTGAAACGAACCCTGTGCTTGTCTTTGTTGCTGCTGAGATCCAGATAGATGCAGTGTTTTTCCAACACTGTATGTGCATCATCTTCAAGCTACAAAAATTGTGATTACACACCAAGGATAAAGGGAGATTATTTTTGAGTTTCTGTCAGAATTACTTTTATCCCAGAGTAGTTTTAAGAAAACCAGTCCAACAGTTCCTGTCTTACTATATTTGAATTTGAATTAAAGTTTGGATCTCATACCACCATAAAAGTTTACTCTGCTTCCACACACTGAGGTGACCCATCTTGCCTATTTGAACTTCACTCTTTCCTATACCCAGTGCACTTGCAAATTCCTAACTACAGTGTCATTAGCAAAAAAAAAAGAAAAAAAAGAACCCAATTAAAAACAAACCAGAACAAAAAACAAACCAAAACAACACAATCAACCAAAAAAAAAACCCCAAAAAATTGCACCAGCAAAGTGTATTTAGACAGTTTAAAGTCTTGGTAATGAAAAGTGGTAGTTCCATGCTACTGGAACATTTGGTTCTGGAATCCCTGGAAACATTTGGTCACACTGAACAGGTCTGTGAGCAACCTGATGGTGGAGGTGCCTTTGGCAGAGAAGTTAAACTTGATAACATTTAAAGGTCTCTTCCAGCCTAAACCGTTCTATTTCTGGAAATCTGCATTGCTAACAGGACTGGACCCAAATATCTTAAATTCTCAACAGCACCATGAGTATTTTCTTGCTATGTATGCTTAGGTGTGAGGGAGGGTGGTCCAACAGGCAGGTACAGCTACTCCAGGAGTGGTTAGAAACACTTTGAAAACATGTGGGATGACTTAATTTTGCAGAAGGATTAAAGGAATATTTACAAGTCCTAAAGCAAAAGAAATTTTTAGTGAAGAAGCATTCCTATGCCTTTCCCATATGCCATTTTCTTACTGCAGCTACTAATTTACTAATCCCCAAGTCTAAACATGTATATAGAAACAGCCCAGATAAACAAATCATAAGAACAGTAAATAATTAAACACAATTGTTTTTTAAGCTTTCCTGTGGCTTCCTTTTATGATGCAAATTTCTGTGTATTAATAAATTAGAAATTTTTCCTCCTTATAAAAATTTAAAATTCATCTCTCCTAAAAAGTGCATTTAGTTTCAGGGCATGAAAATGTGTAAATAGATAAAAATAATATATAATAATAACAATAAATTAAACAATTAGAATCCACAAATAATAATAATCCACAAGCCCACAGGTAACAGATTAGATACAGGAAGCCTGTCCATTTATTCAAAATTGGAGATTCTGTAAAATAAATTGGAGCTATTCACTAGTAAATACTATTCTTATTACAGCATAACAGTTTCTAAAAACATTTTGTTTACCAGCTATACAGAAGAATTTAGTTATTTGTCACAAAAATTAGCTTTGATCAACTAGTGCAAACATCCAATACAAGCCCCTGACTGAAAGTGTTCAGAAGAAATGTATTTGAAAGTACATGAAAATGCATTTCCTTCAGTGTATCTGGACACCACTCAAATCCTCCCAGCATTTGTTCTTGTTTTAAAAAAATCATAATTCCTCACCACTTTCCAAAGAGAAACATGTATTTTAAATATTACATTCCTTACTTACAAATTACTTATTTAGGACAA